GGGGGGGGGGGGGGGGGGGACAAATGATTTTCTTCCAATCAGGCACGCACGCTTGGCATATTCGAGCTTAGTTACACTTGGTGTAGCTGCAAAATTTGTAGTGGACTTTAGTAGACAAAGAATGGGAAAAAGAAGAAATAATGGGAAATGATTGGGGATGTGGTGCCAGCCCATTTTCGTTTTTGGGAGAATAATGGAGGGATTGTTGAATGTGAATCAACTAAAGTGGCACTAACTATTTTGGAATGTATAGTTAAGGACAGCAAAACAAGTGTTTTTAGAAAGGATGGATTAGAAAGAAGAGGCCGAATTCTGCCCTGTGAATTGAATTGGATGGAAACTTGGTAATGGGGAAGGGAAAGGTGAAGTGAATCCAGCCGTCTTCAACATTCCGGCGCCCACATTCTGCTTGATTTGCCTGATGCTTATTATGATGCAATAACGAATTTTATTTCCACTACCACTCAAATACCTAAGGTTGCGTTTGGTATTGTTAATGCTTTAGATTTTTAATTTTGATTTTTTTAATATATTATAACAAAAAAAAATGTAAAGTATAATTTCTTTTGTATAAATTAATTTTTTATAATCATTAATAAAAAAAAATGTTTTTGATATTAAGTGTTTACTCTTTTATTAATAATTAAAAAATATATAGTTCATATAAGATAAATGATAGAACAACATTTTCATACTATAAATCTAATCATCTTTATTAGATAGGTTAAATTTGATTTTGCTACCTCCGCTTTACTTAATTACTTGATTTTAATTATTTATATGGTTGGCTCATCATGACAAATAATTTTTAGCAGCCAAGGGAACCATATTTGAGATTTCCCTCCTAAAAGTTAAGAGATGTGCCAAATACATCTTAATATGTGATGAGAGAAAATTGATTCTATTGAACAATTTAAGATTCTTTTTTAAAAAAAAAAAAAGAAAAAGAAAAAGAAAAAAGCTAACATGATTTTCGAAAAAAAGATGATGGGCATATATCTATTACTAGCAATTTCCTTCTATATGGTTTTCAAGTTATTTTGACTAGAAGTATGGAATTTGTTGTTATGACTCATTGGTCCAAAATGATAGAGTGCCATATTATTCTTATTCTCTACTTCAACTTTCCTCTTAATTCCCTTCTCACCAACCAATAGACTTTCATCTTCCTCTTTGTTTTCTTATTATTCTCTTATCACCAACTAAAAAACTTGCTTTCGACATCATTTTGGTATCAAAACTTGATTTCCAATTCCATATGTTGCCGTGTCCCAGTGTCCTCTTCTGTACGGCACAAAGTCAAGCATGGTACTAACAAAGAGGAACGTATTCTAGGGCCTACATTGTAGTTAAATTTGTTAAGATCATATAAATTGTTAAATTTTTATTTTAATTTAATTATTAAAAATAATTATTAATCGATAAAATAATTTTTATTTAGTATTTAATATATTAAATTAATTTATAAATAAATATTTTAAATATTATAATTAATTGTTTTAAAAAATTATAAATTAATAAAATAAAAATAAATTGTGTGACCTTAACAAAATTTTCATATTATCATAACCATAACCTATACTAGGATGAGGGTGGTTATGTTGCGACACATAATTTTATTATGGTTACACAAATTTAACCCTTTTTTTTTTTTACTTTAAATAATCAATTATGGTATTTAGAAATATTAGCTTGTAAATTGATTTTAAATTGTTTTACCAATTATTAATTATTTTTAACACAATTAAACCAAATTGAAATAGTATTTTTAAATCAGTATTAATAAATTTGTATGACTATAACAAATTGGTGTGCGGCATAGCCATGCCTTACTAGGACTCTCCTAAGGTAGACTGTCGAGGTCAAAGGGAACCAATACCATAACTACAACCAATTCACTTAAAAACACTAGTTACCAGACGAGGGTCTGACAATGGCATATATTAATCTTTAATACACGCATCGAAAAAATGGGCTTAATTTTCTGCATTATGATTCTGCATAACCTTATTATTTCGGCATATATGGGGGATGATTGACCAAAGTAGAAGAAGAAAAATGGGAAATGAGGGTGGGAGCTTCTACACAAGGGAAGGGATCAAAAACAGCTGGAGGGGATTGTCTCATAGTGCCTTAAATGTCTTTTGTGGTGAGGAAGTGTACATGAAATTGGACTTGTTCAGGGCATGGGACCCTTTGCGCCACAAACTTTTTAAGTCACTTTTTGTATTCTTTTATAGTATTAAAAACATGAGATGATGTGAGAGAGTGGTGGGCTACTTACTTCTAAATAAGGTTGACACTTGACATGCAAATTGGCGGAGTCTAAAAGTAAGTGCCACTTCTGGGTATGGCATTAAAGTTAGGACAAGGTATAAACACGCTATTAAGGATTTGTTGGTTTAGATAACAAAAATTTAATTCTACTTAAATCAAATTTTGGGTTTGAATTTTGTAAATAAAGAAATAAATATTAGGAGAATTATTTTTTAATAGAATTCGATGTAGTTCGATTTTAGATTAATGAGAATCTAACGTAATTATTGAATACTAGGAGGTTAATTAAAAAAATAAATAAATAAACACTCTATTTTAGTTAGCTGGAATCAAGTTTTAAAATTGCTTCTGGATTCTAATCGGTATGGAGTATATTTTGATTTTTTTTTGTCTTCTTTGGACTTTTCTATTCTCTCTTCTATTTCACTTCTAATTTAAGTGGAGCATAAGGGTATTCTAATATTCTATACATGTCATAAATTATTAACACTAATAATATATAAGTCAAATCCACTTAGCTATGTATAAGTCACCTCAACTACTAGATTTGTAAATTAACGGCTAATAATTTCGATAAGACTTGAATTTATTGTAACTTATTAAGCTCTGCCTTGTTGTTATCTGTGTTGCTGCTGGTTGCAATTAAGAGCTATTATGAGGGTAGCAGTATGCATTACCCTTATTTATTGAGTGAGTCTTGTAAATTCATATGCATTTATTATTGAGAATCTTGTTTTTTTAGTTCAAACTATATACACATTCGAGTAAATAAAAAAATTTATTCAAAAATAAAACTATAACTTTAATCTAAATTGCATTTGAATCAAATCGAATCAAACCTCATCAGCTAGCTGCTTATGGTTTTGGAGTTGTAGCAGTGTAAATTGTCCGAATTCTTTTTTTGTGCGGTACAATAAAACTTGGAGCAGAGTGGCTGGAATTGAGAGGAGTGCACTTCTGAGAACATTTTCCGAACCAAAATTTATATATTGAAACAATAGTGTTGGTCCAATATTTGGTTGCGTGAAAACGAGACCCACTTAGGCAATTCTGAAAATTCAGGTGTCAGTTTAGTTGGCCCATCACTATTGGAATTCTCCACCGGGGGTCCCAGGCACTGTAGATACCATTATGATGTAACACTACATCATAACTAGGACCACTCTTAAATTTATTAGGATTATATAAATGGTTAAATTATTATTTTAATTAAATTATTATTAATAATTAATAAAATAATTAATATTTATTATTTAATAAATTTAAATTAATTTATAAATAAATATTTTTAAATATTATAATTAACTATTTAAGAAAAAACTATTATTTTTTATATTAAGCTTTCAATATTCAAAAATTATATTGAATCTAATTAATTTAGAATCAAATTAAATTGGATCTCATAAGAGAGAGACTCTTTTAATATTTATTTTTTCATTCATAAAACTTAAATTTGAAATTTTATTTCAAGAAAATTAAATTTTTTTTATTTGAATTAACAGGTTATTGTTAAGAAAAAATATTATAAATTAATAAAATTACAATTAAAATGTGTGATCTTAATAAAATTATAAGTTACGGTAATAGTAGCAAACACCATGTAATACATTAAAATATTACTTTTTAAGCTATGTTACCCCATACAATTTCTTAGTTTAAAGCTTCACTTGCTAGTGTTATATCGTCTTATAATAATATATATTTTTTTGTTTTTTTTTTTATCTAAAAGATGTTATTAATAAAAATGTATAAAAATCAATAAAAAATGAAAATTTTAAATTTTTAATGGAATGTTGTGTAAAAATATCTATGAAAATTGAAAAGCATTGACACCGAAGCCTAAACTTGAGACTCTAGACAATAAGTAACGTCAAAGATCAATGTTTTAACGGCCGAGACATTCCTTAGACGCTTCTAAACCCACCACATATGACATATAACATATATGTTGAGAAAGAATTGCAAGTTTTTTCTCTTTTTTTCTTTTTTTGTTTTTCTGATGTTAGCTTTCTTGAGTAAATTGCAAGTTTTTTCAGATGTTATGCCTCGACGTGCATAGCATCAATCATCAACCATTTGTGAAATTTCATTCTTCTTAAACTTTTTTAACTTGGACTTTTAAGTTTTTAACTTGGACTTTTAAGTTTTTACCAATTAGAATTTTCTTAAGAGTCTGTTTCATTTTTTTCTTCTTTTTTTGTTATTGTTGATACTGATTGAGAGGACAAGGAGTGCGTACATACATCCCCCTTGGAAGAAAGACGAAATGAACAGAAGCGACCAAGCAATTAATAACTGATGTTGAATTAGAGAGGAACGGACCTTCCAGTTCTGGAACTAACGAAGGTAAAAAGCGAGGAGTCCTTATCTAGTTTGGGCCGACTACAAGGACATTCATCAGAATCCGACAATCGGTGGTGGTACCCAACTAACCCCCATTTAACTGCTTGGGGAAAAGTGCTGTGAAGGTGACCGTCGTGGCCTATACCACAACAGTGCACTTACGCCAGGTATGACCCTGAAGAAGAGGCCGTGGTGCCTCTTGGCCTGTTGCCCCTGTGCCTCGCTCTTCTCCTCCATTATTATTGCATTTTGATCACATTTCTCACCGTACGCTACCATGCGTCCTTGGTTTGAGTGTGGATCTATGCCCACACATTAAACCACATAAGTTCTCATATTTTGTACATAATTATAATTAATTATATTGTTTTAAAATATCAATATATAAATTAATTTTAGTTTATTAAATAATAAATATTAATTATTTTGTCGTCTATGAAATAATAATTATAATTATCAATTATTTTTAATAATTAAACTAAACAAAATCAATACTTTAAAATATTTTAAAGTGTGCCTGAACATAATACTGCCCCCTTGATTGCCATTAGTTTTTTGCCGTAAAACCCAGGGATGTGTAGAAAGGTAGCAAACAAGCACTGAGAATATACAATGTAGAAAAGAAATTAGGACCATGATAAGATATAACCCAGGTCTGAAATGTCACAAGAGTCAACAAAAATTTTTTAAACATCTAATATGACAAAGTTCAAATCACGCTTCCTGGGTATGATGATCCGATGAAGGTTACAAACCAAAAAAACAGGGAGAGTTCAACTATGCGATCAACTGGGTAGACACTGAGCAAAACACACTCGCTTATGCAAACTTTGCCTTTGAAAAATCCATCTCAGGATGCTGCAAAAAAATTTGACAGATTGACAGCTATGATGAGCCCATTGAACAAGCACTACAAAGAGATTGGAAGGACAGAAAAGGGAGCATGAGTTGTAAGGATGTAAAGTTTTGAAGAGCAGCATTTACCTCGGCCATGAATTTCTTCAAAATCTCTTGCTTTTGCATCTCATCACTGGTTGGTAGACCCATGGCTTTCTGCCTCTGATCAAACTGCATAAGAGCATAAGAAGCAATCATAAGCCCAATCACCAGAGGAGAAAAGGGAAGTAAATTTAAGGTTAATAATCCAATGACTAAGTCTAAACAAACTGATTTTTTGAATTTAGTTTTTGCACAACCCGAGTAATCAACCTACAATTTGCCTTTTGGGCATTAAAAAAAAAAAAACCCCTCAAATTTGCCAACAGAAAAGCAGACATGCATAAAAAAATAAAAATAAAAATGAAGCAGCATAAACATGGTGGACATGAATACCTAGGGCTGAAGAGGAACAGAGGAATCTATTACTAACTCTTGTTGAGGTCACAACGTTCACCAGTCAATGATTTAGAAATATCATCTAAATATGAGAACTTACCATTGAGTCATTTCTATATTTCTTCCCAATGATACGGAAGGAATAACCACTTGATATAGGAAAATGGAATCAAAACTTAAAAGAGAAAAATGGAATCAGCTAATTACCATCATCTTTTCAACAGTCTGCCGTGTTTCTGGATCCAAGTCAGCGAGTTTGCTGTTCTCTGGTTCAACTTTTTGAGTGTCAATTTCTGGATCTCCCTTCACTAATGATTTCCACCACTCCATTTGGTCATGCTTTGTCAAAAGGATAGAGAGGGAGCTTTCATCCTCTGCAATACGTGTTAGAAGGTTTTCAATTTTTAATAATAGCAAAGTAAGCACATTATGCATGAAAGTTCTTTTCTTTATACATTCTCAAATAACTCTATTTCTTAAACACAATTGGTACGTAATGAATTGTCTCTATAAACAATCAAATTATTGTAATTGACTAATTTCTCTATTATTCCATTTGGACCAAAATTCAAGAACTACTTAAAAAAAAGTAGAAAGATTACTAACAAATCAAATTAAAGCTATAAGAAAATGAGAACTAGAATTTGAAGTCAAACTCATTCCAAGAATAAGATTGAGAAATTTGATGAAAAGAAACAATGAATCACAACCAAACTTATTTCTTAAGATATTTCTGGAAGTCTCTGCAATGAAAAATGGTGTACACGTTACTTTTATATATATATATACAGAGAAATTTTCATTTTAATTCACACTTTTGTAAGCACAATTGTTAAACATAACATATGGCAAACCTTTATTTTGGTAAACATATCTTCAAAACATTTCCCAGTTATGATAATCATAGCATAGTTAAAGATAGAAATAGAAATGGAATAACAAACCTATACTCCAGTAACAGTCATCGGCCTTGATAGGCTTATAAAGATCCCCCTGCAAAGCACATCAAATATATTACTAGGATGTAAATACAAAGGGATATATGCGAAGAGACAGAAACAAAAAGGGACAACTACAAACTTACATCAATTATGGGAGGTTGGCCCTTCAATCCAACTTTTAGTTGGTTCTTCTTTATATCACAAACAACAAACCTTGACTTTGTTCCCTTAGGGATGGGCACATTAACAGTGACCTCCTGCAGGGTCTGTGTCCAAGAGTATTTCTCAAGATCGAGACCATTGCCATTGTTTGGAACTGTCCAAATGTTTGAATGAAACAAATACAATGAGCTCAAATTTCAAATGCACATACCAGTTTTAATTTCCCAATTCACAACCTTCAACTTGCGCTTCTTCTATATTCTACTTTCATCAATCTAAGAAGCAGATAACACACAATCCTTAAAAAATAGAGGATTCCCAATTCCATTTATTCATTCCCATGGACATTCAAAAGTTTCAGCAACCAAAGAGACCATAGACACAATATCATGAATCAGCTTCAGTTGTATTAACTCATCTAATGACCATTATTGAACATTTCAACAAAAAATTTGCATAAATACAAGACAAGTCTTACCAGAGAAAATCAAGCAACATTTTGCTAAAAGAGCCACTAAGATAAATTAAATTCTCAGCCCAGCGAGTGAAACAGAAAAAGCAAGAAATCGAACCTCTCAAGCCGGTTTCCTCCTTCTTATCGACCTCCATTGGCTCCTGCTTCTCTTCCTGTTTCGTTTCCTTCTCCTCTTTCACCTCTTTCTTTTTCTCCTTCTCTACTTTCGCCTCCTTCTCTACTTTCGCCTCCTTCTTCACCTCAGTGTTTGGAGCTCCATCTTCCACCTTCTTCTTGTTCTTCTCCTTCGCCGCTTTCACCAGGGCTGCGATCTCCTTCTCCGCCGTTGCCTTCCCAAGAAAGTCACTTTCTTTCGCGACAAAGTCGAAGACTTTCTCCAGAAACCCTGCAGGATTCGACGGATCCAAGCTCCCGGTAAACGAAACCGTCTTGGATGGCGGCGTTGACGTCGAGGGCTTCTCCTCTTCCTCTTGATATTCAGAGATTATCGCCATGGCTGCTTTCACTCGGCGATAGAGTGTCCTGCCTTAGCTTGGAAGCTTAGGGTTTATATACAGAGTAACATAGAAAATGAGCTTGGAAGAGTTTTAGAGAAAATTCTAGACCTTTCTCTTTTTCTTTTTCTTTTTCTTTTTCTTTTCTTCATGGTTGGGTTTTGCTAAGACGTCCTTCATCTTTATTTTAATTACTCTCTGTAATCAACAAAACTCACAATTATCATCATCACCCTCATTTATATATTTTTTTGGTAATTAACGCCCTCTTATTAGAGAATTACAACATAAACAATGAAAATATTCACTTCAATGTCATATTATCATAATTAATATTTTTCATATATTTAAATCTTAAATAAAATATCTAATAGAACATCCCCTCTTTAATGTGTACATCTAAATAGAATTTTTTTTGAAAGTTATATTAATATTAATTTATTTAATTCATATTTTATATATTTAAAACAATTTATTTATTTTCCTTTCTTTAAGAAAAAAGAGAAAAGCGATTGGATTTCAAAATCCAGCGACTTCGAATAAAAGTCAGGTATATTGCCTAACATATGCCGACATAATTGCTCCAGAAGCAGCAAAAAAATGCTAATCAACTCTCTTTTTAAAAATATTTCAATGATACGT